GAGCAGCTCCAACAGGACAACTTCCAGCTGCAACAGGACAACTTCAAGCGAATGCAAGAGATGCTGGAGGAAAGACTGCTCTCGCAGTCAAATGACCACAAGGAGCACCTCGTGGACAACCTTGGAGTACTACATGCTGCAGTCAAGTCGGGAGCTCAACAAGTTACGCTGGATGGCACGCAGCTCAAGCAGATAAAGGACATGCTGAGCCAGGAGTCCAGTGACGCCCGCAAGGCTGTGGTCTTGCACAAAGACCTCCTGGACGAGGTGGCGAAGCAGCAGAAAGTCCTGGAAACTCTGCAAGATGGAAGCCTGGCACAGGTGCGTGAAGTTCTGCAGGACCAACAAGCTGGGACTCGTCAGATCTGTGACCGGGCAACAGATCTGTCGGACAAGCTTATAGCGCTGGACAGACTGGTCGATGCCCTTTCTGGAAGTCTCCAGAAAATGTCGAATGAAAACCATGTTGGGTTTACACGTGCGGAGCAAAAAGCGGAGAAAAACCACACCATGTGGGTGTCTGAGAACGGCAGTGTCAAAAGCTACCTCAACACGGCGATTCCGCTTATCCGGGGCTCCAAGGAGAACACCGACAAGACTGTCCAAGCTGTGGGCGAGATCGCACAGGAGCGCGATGGGATCCGGCGCAGGATCGATGACTTGCCGGTGGATCCGATCATGCGCCACCAGGGTTGCACGGAGCACATCGTGGGGGAGATCCGCGAAAGCCTGGATCAAGTCTGGAGCTGGCTGACGGACATATGCCGGAATGTCCAAGACGTGACGAACCGGGTACAGGAGCTGGATGAACGCCTGATGGAGAGGCTGCCAAAACTCCCTGCAAGGAAGCCACCCAGTCAGTCGGGAACCAATGCGAGCACGAACACCGAGCGGGAGCACCAGCCAGAGACCATCCGGCTTCAAGAAGCAGTTCCTGCCTCTTCGTCGTCCCAGCCGATCTTTGTCAGCACGGGACAGCCATTCTTCATGGCACCGCCACCGGGCCAAGGGCCCCCTCTGATCCTCACGCAGGCGCAGCAAGACGCACTGCAAAGGCATGGGCACTATGTGCTCAGATGATAAGGGATGGCGTCAACAGCCTCGTGCCCTCATGTTCGCATGTCCCTGCCTGCGCACCCGCAGCTGCTTAACTTTATATACTACCTCTACCCTTGAGCTGTCGTTTCAACTTTCCTGAACCATAGGCACATGGAGGCACGTTGATGCATCTAGGCACCTTTCTTGGGCATCAGCATGTGAATTTAAAGCGGCATGTGCATTGAATTTGTTTTGCTGGACTCTGTCTCACTGCTGCATGTATGCACTACGATGAATCGTCAGGAACCACGATGCACCTTGGTGCAAACACGTATGCACGACTGCATGCCACGGGCTTTGCATGTGTGAATCTGAATTTCCGAATTTCTTTGCGCTGCATAACATGCTGAAGTGCTCACCTGCGTGCCGTGCATGACACAATCAAGACGATGGCCCTGCCGCAAAAAAGGATGAATCCGAGTGCGTGGTGATTGCGGAGTTTAGTTGAGAAGTGACTGCGTAGCGAACTCCACGACTTCATGAGTTGCTGAGAAATACGGAGGCCTCCAGACAGCATGGGCTCAACAGGTAGCGGGGTCTGGACACTTTGGGAACTTCTGCTGGTGCGAACTGTTGTCATGCAGGTTGATCACGTGCTCCGAGTCCGTCGTCTGACCCTGCCAATGCAACCCGACAGACCTTCTACTCCCGTCCTTCAGCCCGAAGACGAAGAAGTGACCAATCCGAGCAACCCCAAAAGACCCAGAACTACCCTTGAAACAGGCAGCCCAAACCTAGGCAACCCCGAACTGCCAGCAACGACATATAATGTTGCTTGTGTAGAGAGCGCTGCAGCACAGCTCCTGAACAGAAGCGATGAAGCACCGATCCTGCACTCTGATATCCTCACATTGTGGACCCTGATCCCAAAAGCCAAGCGCCTTCGCCCGAAGCCCTCTCAACAGCCACTCAGGCCCCTCGATGAACCACAAAGGCATGAGATGACATATGCTGTTTTTGGCTTGAGTCCTCGTACTAGAGACCAAATTACACACCACACTTTTGAATTTAGTCGAACGACTAAGGTGTTGACACGTTTTGTACGCTCATGGGCTCCGAACTTCATGTTCACCACCATTGCACTCATTGCCAATGGACACAAAGGCCCCCACCGTGACCTGAATAACTTTGAAGGGTTATCGTTTCTTACGTGTCTTACAAAGCAAGATGGTGGTGACTTGTGGACTCAATCAAAAGATGGTGAGTTTCCAGTACGGCATTATGGCAACACATTGTGGGGACATGTCACCGACATACAACATCAGCCGGTATTGTTTCCCAGTCGCAGTGTATTGCACATGGGTACACCATGGAAAGGCACAGTCCGCGTCACCCTCATTGCTTTCAATACCATTCACACTTGCAGTCTGACTCCCCCTAACATCAACCTCCTGAATAAAGTGTGGAACTTCCCTGTACCGACTTTCCAGAATCTGGATTGCTGGAGGTTAAAGTTCGGATTTCAGAGAAGCATCAAGGGGTATGGTATTGGAGTCAATGGGAACGCAGTCAATGGACTGCAAGATGTCGGACAGCCGTGCACCAAGGCAGCTGCCAACGCTGATGATGAGGTTATAGAGAAGGGAGACAGAAGGGAGAGTGTGAGAATGAGTGAGAGCTGAGCCTCGAGACCAAAGTTTGCCACAACAAAACGATTCTCCGATGGCGTCCCTAACGGAAGCCCTAAAAAAATCATAAAAACTCTAATGCCATTATCCTCGGAGTATCGTTGCTGTCTGTAGTCTAGCTCTATGGTGACCAATCCTCTGTCCCTTCTCTCCTGTCCTACCTGTCGTCCCTACTCTGCCTGTCCCTTGATCTCAACCTCCAATAGGGTTATACTAGACCATTGATGTTGTTCTATTGGGTGTATGGGTGCGCCCTCAGGGGCTATGGGCCTTATATACATTGGGAACAGGATCTGGGTTTCTGGGTTTGTTTTTCTTGGGACTTTCTGGATTTCGGAGACAACCCCGATTTGCCATGGCTTGCCTGTGCCTCTGACCTCAGCGCCTGACTGACTCATGATGGAAGCTGCCATGGCTACCTGCATTACTCTCTGGCTGGATATGTCGGAAAAGCGGACGAAGCGCAAGTGCTTATGGTGGAATTTGCGAATTCTGGAATGCTGGAATTACTTGCATGTACTGCAGTGCCAACTGAATTCAATGATTGTCCTGGCGGATGCGCGAGACCGGATGCAACTTTCGGACAGACAACTGCCTGACTATGCTGGTCTCTTTTCAGTGCTCTAGAACTGCTGGAATGGCTGCTTGCGACTGCCGAAGTTGTACATGGGCATATGGCTGTTGACTTGTATGTTGCACCTTCGGGTGCTAAGCCTGCTGCATAAGCCTGCTGCATAACTCTGATCTGTTGATCGTGTGGTGTGTGCAGACCTGTGCAACAAAATCCTTTTTCTGGCTGGCTAATCTGGCGATGCATCTTGATGACTGGACCCGCCAAACAATTGCACTGTACGAGATCACCAGCCGGGCGATGAATTTATCAGACTGCCAGAACTGCATGCTGCATGTGGCATTGCTTGCTGGGAATTTGTGGAATTTATGATGCATGTTGAGCGGATGTGCATGTGGAGTGGCCGTGAGAGTCAGCGATGGACACTATCTGTGACCTGTGTGAGGGACCGAGCTGCATGTAAAAAACGCGGGATGGCGAACAACAGTACAAGTGAGTGCGGAGCTAGGGGTTGTTGTGCAAAGTCGAGCTGCATGACTCCTGGACGTGTGTAACACATGTTCTTGGGAACAACGAGAGAGGCTCCCAAAGTCGAGCTGACCTTGAAGCTTTTGTTGTATAGCTGCTTTCAGAGATACCAGTGTATGACCCTGCATCGTAGGTTCGTCCTAGCCAGGCGGGAGGCAAAAAAGGACGGGACGTGTGTAAGATATCTGATGAACCGGACTCGCCAAATGAGGAGGTGCGTTTAAAGATATATGATAAACCGGAAGTGGAAATTGATTTGTATGGGTTTTGTGTTGATTGTTCGCGTTCTTGCAGGTTGCTAGTTTCAAGTTTCACTTGGTTTGGTCATCGCCCATCGAGGGGGCGTGCCATGTTGAACCGGAATCGGCAACGAGGGGGCGTGTGTAAGATGTATCGTGAACCGGAATTGCCAAATGAGGAGGCTTGTTCAAAATGTAGGATGAACCGGAATTGCAAACTGTTTTTGGCGTGTTTCGTTTTATTTGTTATTGCTTTTGCTATGCTATCGTCAAACGAGGTGGCGTGTTTATTTAAGATAGATGATGAACGGGAATCGGCAAATGAGCGGGCGTGTTGCAGGTACATGATGAACCGGAATGGCGAAAGACGGGGCGTGTTTAAGATATGTGACGAATCGGAATCGCCAAATGAGGGGGCGTGTTTCAGATATATGATAGGACGGAATCGCAAAAGAGGGAACGGTTTAAGACACTAAGATATATGGAGAGTCATTATCACCAAATCAGGAGCGTGTTTAAGATATGTGATGAACCGGATCGAGGCGGCGTGTTTAGGACAGAGGATGAACTGGAATCGCTAAAGGAGGAGGGGGCGCGTATCTGATAAGAATCCGAACCGCAAAAGAGGGGGGCGTATTTTAAGATATATGATGATCCGGAATACCCAGAAGAATTGCTAAGTGACCCGGCACCCTCCGGCTGGCCTAGCAAGAATCGGGCCAATTTATGGAAATTGCGAAGGGCAAAGAGCTTGCATGAGTAGAGACGCCTGCAAATGTACATCGAGAAAGAAGTCGCCACTTCAGACGGCTTGGAGCGTGCAAATCACACAGAATTTGCTTGGAAGCAAGGAACACAAACAGCTTCAGGAAAAAACAAACAATACATCCTTTTCAGGTTCGTGTTGCAACGGGAGGATCCGTTTCAGCAACTGAGGCAGAACAGCTCTATGATCGAGTTCTTTTCAACATCCAGGCCCCCACAGTTGATCAATGTAGACAGAGCTGGCAGCACCATGTTCTGGAAACATGCCCAAAGCTTTTTTCGCTCGCACTGGACATAGCCGGGTAGAGTCTGGATCAGCTCAAGCCAGACAGGCCCTGGCCAAGATCTTCAAGCGTTGCGTCCATTGCTGAGCGCAGCCTCACTCAAGTTCCAGGTGGAAGAGGTAGTATACCGCATCGCAAAATTGACTAGTGAGTCTTTGGCAGCTGACGTCCGGCCTGTGAAGCCTCAGGTGCACCGAGGTGTCTTCCGCCTTCAGTTTACAAAAGGAAAAGGTGACGAAGTGCTGAAGGAAGAGCCAGAGCGCGCAGCTCATCATCCTTCAGAAGGGCCTCTGCTCTGGAAGCTATGCATGCTTCGACTGGTGTGGTGGTAGCACGTGGCTTCAACAGTCTGTTGGTGATGCAAGATTGCTTGAATTCCGCTGGCCCAAAATCACCAGATACAAGGTCCTTGAAAGTTTGTGAAGACATCAAGGACTTCGACTTGGCCGTTTTGGCATTGAGAGCTTGCGCGAAGATCTGAAGTAATCACTTCATGAACCGTCGGAGGATTTCACCTGCCACGTCTTGCACAAGATGTCAGTATCCCAGCACAAGTGCCAGGTCCACTATGTGCAAAGTAGCATCATCGGGCGGCACTGCGGGTTACATGCGTTTTGTTCGCCACGAGATTCTGCTCACGCCTTGGAACTCTTAGGCTCATGAAAGACCTTTCCAAGCCGATGCCCCAGAGCCAGTGAGTGGGGTCATGCACGGGATGCTGCCCTGCGTTGATACGCTGTGATTCTTGCGTGCTGTGTTGCATAGAGGCAATGCCGGCAATGCTATGCCATGCATCCTTCCAGCCTCAACCGCGAGGGTTCAACAGAAGACTTGGAAATGCTCAGGAGCGAGTTGGAAGAGCTGAAGTGTGGGCCTCGGTTGTCGCTCTGGTGGAGATCAGAGGACTAGTAGCTGTGCCCCTAGTACCATGGGATCTGTGTGCAACATGCTTGCACTTGGAGGCAGCAGCCGTTTCCTGAGCCGTCGGCATCTAATTTCGACCATAAGAAAAAAGCTGTGGCAGAACCCGTCTCAGACATCAAATCAAGTTCCAGAAGGCCCATCTTCCGAACTAGAGTGCATTGCTCGAAGAAGGATGACCCCCCAGAGACGCACGCAATCAACCCTGTATCATTCTCCCCAATTCGGAAATTTGCTCCAAGGTTTTGTGTTGGGATGCTGTTGACAGCGATTCACCGCCTCTAGTAGACCTTGTCACAGTGGCCGATGTGTCGCTGCTTTCCGGCTCTCAGGAGTGGCCGCGGACGACCGGATGAGGCGGGTCCCAACCTTCCGTCTCCTGCTCTGGACATCTTGCTCGATGGTCTCTATGGTTTATCGGCATGATGCCAACCTGGCTGCCATCATCCTCACAGCAGAATCAGCAATGCATCCAGTGCGAGCTGCTACTATTCATATAGCCAGGTCTCCAGTAGCAACTTTCTGGTGTCTACCACACAGAACCCGGTGCTGATTTTCTGGGCTCAACTGCTGTAATGAAAATACATGTATACGGTCTTAGCACCTTGCGACTGCAGCGGTTACGAAAACCAGCAGCGATCCTGTTGTGGCCACAAGCACTAGAAGTCGTACTGAAGGCCGCCCTTGTACTGCGACTGACTCTGACTTCGGATGATGCTGCAACCACTGCTCAAACTCCACTACCACTATTATACTACTACTACTACTACTACTACTACTACTACTACTACTACTACTACTACTACTACTACTATTACTACTACTACTACTACCACCACCACCACGACGACTACTACTACTACTACTCCTCCTACTGCTGCTGCGCTACTCTTACTTCTTCTGTTGTCATATGCGTAGGATTATACCGCTACACCAGCGATACTCGAGCTGCAGCCGCAACTCCCAATGAGGCTAAGAAATTCTGCCACGTCTACCCGCCAGTAGCATTAGAAGCAGTCCTCTTGCTTCGGTGATGTGATGGCGGATCTAAACACCATGGAGCCGCAGCCTCGTCGATTGCGGGACTCTGCCCCGGCGTGCCCCGGAACGCGGCACGACTGGCCCCCCAGGGCTTTGAGGCCGAGCAAGAAGCGTCTCGCCGAGGTTATTTTGCGCAAGCTGCGGCCTCAATACGAAGCGAAGTCTTGTCCCCCATCAGAGCACAGGCAAAGCCCGACTGCTTTCAGACGTCTGGTGGAGTATCTCCGACAGATGTGGTCGCAGCTCGAGCTCTGAAGATTTTGGTAACCTGGTAAGGAAGGGGAAGAAAACAGAAGGGGTGCCTCTGAGCTCATCGCTGTGAGGAATGGGATCCTCATCCAAGCGGTGGGAATCCCATTGCGACACCTCCTGGCTTTCTATGGCCTTCGGCTCTGCCTCGGCGGACAGGTCCAAGAGACACCACGCCCAAGCGTTAATGCACCCCCCGTTACTTCTGTAATGCTTCAGCAGCGCTTCATTCTGTCTCTTGTGCTCCTCCTTTTGCCTTCTTGCGAGGTGCCTTGGCGCACAGGCCTTTTTGCTATGGCTCTCTGGCCCATTAGCGGCTTCGGTGTCACGGCCGGCGCACACAGACTGTGGCCCGGCCCTGCAGTCAAGCTGGAGCCCTCTGCCTTGGAGCATTGAGAGTTCCAAGTCTCAGGTGGACCCATCAGTCCTATGTGGCATCCCCCACGATGGAGGATTGGCAGAAGTGATCTGATCTGAGAGGTTCACCGAATGCAGAAGCTTCGGTTCGCTTCAGCTTGATCAGGCGATGCTGATGCTCATGTTTTCCATGGCGGACCAGGGCCCGATCCAGGGCTGGGCGTTGACGCAACCTGATGTCTTTAAAGCCTTGGACAGGCTGCACGCAGCAGCTCAAAGCCCACACGCATGACTGCACTGCACCGCATCGTACGAGCCCCCTCAATCTGCACCGTGACTCCCCTGGAAAAAGGCATGCGATGCACCACGTTGCCAGCGACACTCGCTGGGATCCGCACAACCGCACTGCGGGCTTCTGGCGCCTCGTCCACAGACCAAACCCGAGCTTCCTAGGCTCTTCGCGGACACCTCAGTGGAGGTTTAAAGCCCTTGACTGTGCCAGGTGACCGCAACCTCTCACGGCTCAGGTAGAGGCTTCGGGTTCAGAATCCTCAGCCCGAAAGGCTTAAAACAAATGTTCAACTGCAACAATACCTCCTCGATGAGCATCTTGCTGAAACTAGGAAATCTTAGATGCGAGCGCAGCAACGTTCTGCGCACAGCCCATACTCTGTCAGGTATGCGCACGTCGGCTGGCTGTTCTCTTCGATGAAATTCCGACTCGGCACCAGAGAGTTCCTCGGCTGACGGAGCCTTTTCCGGGAATGTGCGGTGGAAATGGAATCAGATGTGGCAATGTCAAGTTTGCAGGATTTCGCGGGTCTTGGTCCAAGTTTGGTTCTGGCTCAAACTCCTGCCTTTCGCATCTACGATGCACGACGACCAAGAATCCCGCAATCGGCCCCCAAGTGTCACGCGAGTTTGTTGCAGAAAAGTTGGGAACTACAGCCCAGGCTGTTTCTTTGAGCCATGTCACATCATGTCGTCGTCGACAGCATCATTGGCAATTTCGTCTCCATCTTCAGTTGCATCGTCATCTGTGTTTCCATCTTTAATTACCTTCACCAATCATCCATGCCACATCCTCGCCAGGATTTTTTTGCGATGGACGAACACCTGACCAACCATAGCTGCTATGGTAGTGTAGCAGCCATGTTCGGAGTAGGAGTCTGAGTAGTAGATCGTGGTTGGATCAATCGGTACGGGTTGGGTGTGGCCCCCTCACAGTAACAGTTGGATAATAGTTTCCCTCTATATACACCCCCCAGAAGAAGCACAACTGTTTGGAGGCCTCTGGAGTTCCCAGTCTTGGGGGGGCCCAACTGTTCAGCAGGTTTGGGAGTTCGGGACCCCAGGCTTCAGATTCCAGAATTTGGCATTTGGAGTTTCCAGATCTTTGGGGCCCCAACTGTTCCAGGGAGAGCTTCGGAATTCGCCCGAAGGCAAATAGTAAAGGGTTGAAAAACTGGATTCTGGTGCCCAGGCCAGCGGGGACAGGGTGCTACCTGGCCACCAGGAAACTACTTTGCTCAACGTTTCGTTTCGAGCAGGCCATGAGTTTGCCCAAAAATCTGCAAAGTAGATTGCAAAAGGGAGCACAAGAAAGCACAACTGTTTTGTTAGCCTGGAGCACAAACCCAACCACAAACTCCAAAACACAAGAACAAGCACAAGCTAGAGCACAAAAAACCACAAGAGTAGCACAACTGTTTTGCAATCCGAAGCACAAACCCAACCACAAACTCCAAAAACGAGCACAAGAACAGCATAACTGTTTTGCGATTTGGAGCACGAGGAAATACACAAACTGCTTGAAAAGGTCCAGTTTGCCTCAGAATCCAGGACTCCTTTCTAAAATGATCAACAGGTGCCAGGCCTGGAGAGGCCCAGAAGGCCCTGGCAGGCCTGGGAAGCCAGCGGCTGCACTCAGTCACTCTCCCTCCCTTCCTCAGGCACCCCTCTTCACCCCTGGCTGCGTGTGTTGAGACGCAGTAGGGAACGAATATTTTTCCGGGCCTTGCGTTCGGCAGATTTTGACTACAGGAAGGGGAAGCATGGTTTCGGGGCTTGTTTTGTCAAAGATTTAGGATTTACACTCAAGTCTCGAGGGCGTTCATGTTTCATTCTATCGCTACGCGGCCAGAACCGAAGGAGAAGAGCAATTGGAAAAAACACGCGAGCGAAAGCAGCCGGAAGATGTAAAAAGGCGGGAAGATGGAAAAGTGGCGGGGGAAGATGGACAAGTGGTAAAAGATGGACAAAGAAAAGAAGGAAGTGGGGCAGAAGTAAGGGGGAGGCAGAAGTAAGGGGGAGAGCGGGGGGGAAGGTGGGAAATTGTGAAAATCACGGGTGGCAGGACGGAAGCCGGGCAAGGGGTCGAAAAAGGGCGCTAAAAACGGGTGGAAGTTTGCATTTGAGGGAGGGAGGATTAGGTGGAGGGTTACTCAGTATTAACCATCAAAACGCCAGAGGCCTTTGGCCAACCCGATACATTTTGTTATGCTTTTCGTTGTGGTTCAAATTGTGGTCAATGTTAGTGTGGTGCGACCACACCCAAGGTATGAGTATCACTTCGTCGTGCCACCTTATGAAGTCTATTGTAGTCATATGCTTCTAAGATTCTACGATCGTCAGCAAGGTATCGGCGAGTCGTTGAGCGCCTGGGCCCAATCGTGAAATTCCATGATGCGCCGCTCGGCTTGGTGTATGGATGAGGAAATCTCGGGGCAGGTAGGGTCAAAGAATTGGGGCGCTGTCATGGAAACAGCCCAGCCGGTGAAGTGACCTAGTTGCAGGCGTGGTTGCTTGCAATCCTGCAGCAAAAGAGGGCCCAGATCTAAATGTCTCAATGGTCTATTGTCGTTGCAGTCAATTTGACCGAAGCATCAACGAGCAGCCCGTGCAGCAGCACCAAATTGCTGTTCTTGGAGAGAGTTACGTGGAAGAGAGCATCAAATGCTTTATAGCAAGCAGCAGCTAACCCCACACCTCACATTCTATACCGCCCCCTACGCTTTTACCTCAATTCTCGACCCGCCTCCCAAAATCAACCTTCCAAAACACCAATACACAAAGCACCTCCCAACACAAAAGCAATAATCCCAAAACAAAGCAACCCACCAATAAATACAACAATCCATAACACAATCCAAAACCCAAAGCACCTAAACAAACCCCACCCTCAACCATAATATAGCCCATATCCTAATATGAGGTGTGGCGTAAGACCCTTATCGAAAAATTAAAAATCCCCAAAAGATTATAACGTTGAACTGGAAAACGACGACAACGGCGAGTTCATCTATGAGACGGTGCGCCTGCCACGCTTGTGAAGCTTTGGCGATTCCTGTGACTTGAAGGCGACACCATTGCTTACACCTTGCAGTTCCGGCTGCAGCCTTTCAGGAGTTGTATTGGCCCTTTGATAGACGCAGTTGTTGTTCTCATTCATGTTAAGGCAGAAGCTGAAACAGAACCCCTAAGCACCTGCGCCATGGTGCACCCAGTTAGACGTCGCTCAACAGCGCTGCTGGTGCTGGTTGCTCTGGCACATGTTGCACACCATAGCTTCGTGGTTGCTCCCTTTTCGGCACTTCGGGTTCAGAGCTCCTTGCGCCCTTCTGGCATTGTCAAGATGCGCGTGTTGCGCAAGGCAACGGAGGGTCAAACTCAAAGGGTTATAGGGCATTGGAGTGAAATTGTGCTCCCTG